TTAATAAAACCACATATCAAGACAATTCTAGATATCATTAGGAAAGCAGACAATATTATGGAGCTTTAAGATTAAGGTATATTGTTACTTGCATGAATATGAAAGAGATATATTTTCATTTCCGTAAGTTTTAACGAAACTGCGTACGTTATGCATGATTGTGGTACTAAATAAAGAAACAATTTTAAAAAAATATGAACATGAAAAAGCGTTGTCTTCGGTGAAAGCTGGGAGTATTGGGCTAAGGAGAAAATTTTGTGGAGTAGAAGCATTCCACAACACTGAGTAGACAAAACTCTCATTAAATTGGATACTGGAGTCTCGGCCCTACCATTTCTAAAATTATGTAATGAAATGGGTTTGGATATTAAAGAAGAAGCAGACAATAATATGGAATGCCAAGTTGCAGTATATTGCCAAATAATTACAGAAAATTTCCTACCCACTTTCACCACATAGTTGCAAAAAAATACGAAACTTCGTTCATCTGTAAAACAAGATGAAAATAAATTTCCGACATTTAATAGGGAATCTAATTGTTTCAGCTGTCAGCTAACCGATTTTATGTATGAAAGGTAAAGTATTTTGAAGTTAGTTTCGAGCGGCGTTCATTAGAATAGTAACACAATGGCAGTAGCAGATAAAATAAAAATATTTAAGGTAAATGTTAAGAATTATAAAAATAATTTTCTTTTTCGAAGAAACTAGAGAGTATTGGGCGAAGGGAAAGACTCTAATGAAACAAAAAACTTTTGCCTAAAACTAATCACACCGTTAGATTATATATTGTAGTAAATTTTTCATGTGAAAAATACGCTCTGCGTTTTGAACTTGATAGAACGCTTTCAAATGTTTTTTTCTTAGTAGCTGCTATCTACTCTTCTCAGCATAAGTCGCGTCTAATGCACCAAAAGAATTATACGAAAATGACACTGAATTAAAAAAAAAAGACATCAGCACGACCGGCAGTGATTTGTAAAATTTTGTATAAAACGCACTGACTACTAAACACACACACACACCCACACCCACAAATGCGTGTATTTACATAATTATCTGTGTATATAGTATTGTCGCCGCAATAAAAGTCAAGTGCTCCACCATTGAAATGCCAGGCATTGAGGCATGTAAAAAACGATGCAGTGCGACAAAAAACGAAGATTTACAAGCAATAATACACTAACACATAGATATATTTAAATTACTTGAATGTCTAATAATTTCATTACGAGCGCACAGGATGAGACACACCATCTTTCTCGTGATAGTAGTCATCATCGTAGGTGGAGGAGAGGAAGGAGAATGCGCATTGTCACAGTTGGAATTACAAATTAAAAGAAATGTGCAGAGCGAGCGAAGCAGAAGCGTGGGTAGCGGCTGCAAGGCCGGGCCCGACTGAAAAGATGCCGTCAATGGGCCACTTCAAAGTCAAACCGAGCAAATGCAGTGCTCCACACCCCTCAGCCCAGCAGCCGAGAGCCAATAGCGAGCATTATTAACCAACTAAGTGCTTGTGTGTGTGTGTGTGTGTGAGTGCTGAGGGGTGTTAAGGGGAGCCGCTACAATGGCTCAAGCGCACGTGCAAAGCATTGTGTGCTTTCAGGCGCACTAACGTCAACAACAACAACAACCACAGTAACAACGACAACGGGGGGCCGGCAAATGTTGAGCAAGTATTTTGCGTAATTTTTACATTAAGTGCAATTCAAGCGAATGTTGCAATTGAATCGCTGTTGAATATGCAAATGAATTGAATGGAAATTCTCGCAACCAGCCAACGAAGCAAGCAAGCATTTCTGATATATTATGAGCATGCCACTGCTTGCTGGCGGGCTGGAGAAGGAGTGGTAGAAGAAACACAGAAAAAAATGCTTGTTGAATAATATCAAACAACAAGGCAAACAACCGTCTGAGTGACTTCCAGCAATGTGCGTAGAAAAAATGTGTATGAATTACAAGCAAACGCAAACACACAAACACATACATACGTATGTATGTAAATATGCATGCACTTGTATATACGCCAGAAGATATACTCGTACCTTTGCATTTTAATGTCACACTTTAATTTAAATTAATAGCCAAACATAGTCTAGTTTAATGATGTTGAAGCAGCTGCAGCTACAGCAACAGCAAAAATAACAGCAATAAAAATTATCATAGTCGCTTCTCGTTTCGTTTCATTTGCCCGCCGCTGGGCGCTGTGCCTTGTCGCGCTGAGGCGGTCATTCGCCCGAAGCGACATGCGAACAAAGTGAATAAATAGACTACTGTCAAACGGAATGCGAAGAGAAGAGTGAAAAATAAACTTATATGTTAATACAGGGTTGCCACCTTTTTTAGAATATATGTGAGATTACTTTCCATTCGGGCATTTATTTCGATATTTTTGGTACAAAGTTAAGTTATATTCGATATTTAGAGCCCTAAAAAGTAATGGTCCGATTTCCACCATTTTTATATGTTTAGTCCTACAAAGCACTGTTTATGCAAATTTTTATGCTGATATCTGCATCGGCGATTAATTTAAATATTCCAAAGTGAGAGAGGACAATCAGATGGAATTAAAAATGTGATTTATATTGAAAGTAGGCGTGTTTGTAGGCCGATTTCGTTTATTTGAAACTGTAACATAAAATATGCACAAAATTTGGTTCAAATCGGTCGAGCGGTTACTCATATAAAATATTTTACTTTTTCTTTTAGTAGTTTTTGACATTTATATGGCGGTGGGTGTGGCTTATTGTCCGATTTCACCCAAACTGATCAAGTAACCTTTAAGGATGCTAAGCCAAGAACGGACGGATAAACTATTATAGTCATATAAAAACACTTATTTTAGAATAAATTCAGCTAGTATGGCAACCATGCTACAACACATACATCATGATATTCCTTTTTATAAACATTTGATTTTTCACAAATTTCACACTAGTGTGTGAACTGTCATCCCTGTATTTGTGCAATGGCACACAACTGACCTGCCACAGCGTGCACGCATTCTATTTAGATTATTTGTTGCATACACAAAGGCGTACACGAAACCAATTGCTATGCTAAGCTCGTGCCAGCTTCGTGTTGCATTAAGCTGCAAATGAATGCAACAAATGGCCAAGCGACAAAGTGTTAAAACAAACGCTGCGGGATATGATCAAGCACATACATAACTATAAACAAACATATGTATATATACATATATCTGTATATCTATATACATACGAGTATATATATAGTAGTACAAATACTTAAAAATTGAAGAGCATGCCCAGCGCAGATTCCTGAGGTGAGTATGGATTCATAAGAAAAATTTTATATGCATACAAGTATATAGAAGAATATATGTTAGTCCCCGGACTTATAATGTATAATATTAGTTCGACACATTTCCACTCAATGTAAGCCCTTTAAACCAACCCTCGTTACATTAAAAATTTCCTTCAGGGTACCTAAAATATATATTACAAGTATATATGTATATATGTATACTTATACATCTAAACACAAACAGCGTTCGTAATTTAATTGGACGTGTCTGCTGGGGAATGGGAATAGGCGAATACAAACAGTATTTGTTGCATACTTTTGGCGGCTAAACAAATATGTGGAAACAACTGACATAATAATATACGGGACCGAAATTGTTTTTGTATCTTATTTGCTGCTTCTATTTATTAAAAATATGTCAGCTTTAGAAATAGTTGAAAAGAACATGCTGGTGTCTGTTAGCAAATTAATTTCTAAATTGCACCAAAAAGTGTGCGGTAACTTTATATAATATATAGAATTGAAGTTGATTGTGAGGGATAATAAAAAATTTAAAAAAAAATAATTAATGATTTTAACATTACTTGGAAATATTTTAATTTATATACCTTCTGCTCAAATATAAACGAGACTTTATCCATAACTCGACAAGGACATAACATATGGCCATACTTTTTTTTTTTGCTTAGGTTGGCAGGACTGTTATATGTTTACATGTCAAATTTGAGCGCGAAGCAAATAAGTTTTGATTAATGCTGTGGCCTCTTCTCTCACTTGAAAAGGCGCTTAAATAAGCCATTGGAATTATGCATTAAAAGTCTAGCATTTTTACAAAATTATTACCTGCATGACATTGTAATATCTCTCCTACTAGTTTTTTTATATTAAATATTTTTAACAGGTGGCAACCCTTCTAAATATATTATCCGAAAATACCCTAACCTTAATAAGCCTAATGTTCATATTGCAATAAAGGATTTATTTAAAATTAAATATTTAAACAGGTGGCAACTCTTCTCAAAAATATTTTTCATACTAGCTCTTAAGCCTGCATACACTAACCCACATTACTATAAATTACTTATATTATCATGTTATTTTAAAACTAGTGGCATCCTTCATCAAACAAGGGTTTCTGCTGTAAACTTTCTTTAACCTCTTCACTTTGTTGTATGTACCATATTTCTTCATCACATCAAATTTTTCAAAAATATTTTTTTTTAACTTGATCACTTAATTTATGATAACATTCAAAAATACGGCAACCTAGCAACTTTTTTTTTATCTAAAACATATGGCTATTCTTTTGAACAATTCAAAACGTTATTTGTTTAGATTTAATCTTCATACCAGGGCATTATGTGCAACGATCATGACAGAATTTTGTTGCAGCGGATCAATTTTAGCGAAAAACCCATGCTTTGATTTAAAGAAAGCTTTTCTCAGATCAATAATGAATAATTAAATGTAGTATTCTATAAGAGTAAATATCTAAAGCAATTTTATCATACCTTTCGGCACATTCGAATTTCTATTTTCCATTTTCTACAATTCACTCTATTTTTATCGTTTTAAATACTCGTATGCAACCACCCTTCTGTCTTGCCAAACCGTGTGATGATCATTTAAATTATCTGCGCACAATGTTCATTAAGTGTCTGTATTACTTCAATCAACAACAAGCACAACAACAGCAACCAAAATAATGGAACTGCAATTGAAATGGCATTAATTACCTGACAAATTCTGCACTGTGGCATCTCTGTAGCTCGTCTTTTCCATTAGCTTGAGTGCCTCGCCGCATTGTTTGCGTCTTGTCGGATATTCACTCTTCGACAATTCGTGGCGCACACCTGAATTGCAAATTAAAACCACCAAATCCTCAGAGCCGCCAAGAAATGGTATTTGGAATGTTTCCAGTGAGCTGCAAATACAAGAGGAGTTTATAATAAAAGCAACAACAACAATTAGTGCAATGCATATTCTTTTAAGGAAAGCGGCACTAATGCGGAGCAGCAACTACATATTTTAAGGAGCAGTAAATAATTTGAGCGCGTAAAATAAATATTTATGGAAGAAACCTTGCTACGACAAATATTGAACAGAGTTATTAAGAAGGCTTTGTTGATAGCTAAATACTGAATGAATACAGTAAGATATATTTATAGTCTACACCTAAGCGCTTTACTTAATTGTCATAACGGTTAAGGATTCAACTTAAGCTATTGTCTAATTTTGTTTGCCATATTTACAAAGCAGAAGATTCTACAACTATACCTCTATCTCTACCACTACTCACTCAGAAAAATAAATCACTAAGCGGATAGATATGTCGAAGGCGAATTATGAATATTGGCACCTATCTTTATTTGCACTTTGCCAAAACGAATCGATTTGCTTAAAGCAGTGGTCGGCATGAGAGGAACTGCGATTATGTAGGTGAGCACATAATTAAAGACACCTAGTGAGAAATCTGTTACCTTACCTACTTTTCCTTCTCTTACATGGTACATAGTAATCAAAAACGTTTCAACCCGTAAGCGCTTTAGCGATCTTTATATAGGGATTATTGAAGCTTTGGCTAGAGCAAGACGATCTAGTATTCACGCATTATTCATATTTATAAAATAGTGTTCCGGTAACAGTCTTGTGATCACCAAATTTTTAGGATTGATTCTACAAATTTATTGGTTTTACCTTCCTCTTTTCAATCAGTGGCAATACTTGTGACTGTAAGCACATCTACAATTACACTTAGTCACCTAAGTGGTTTATATACCAAACACGAAATATTTTCTATTGAAAATTCCTGTAGAATATTGCCGTCTTCGTTCCGGCTACTGAGATTTAACTATCATGTGAACGGTTATGACAGGAGTCGACTTTAGAGAAATATGTGTCGATCAAATAGTTGGCAGATACTTTCTTGGCTAGTGACACCTCGTTGCAAGCTCTGACAGCTGTCAAAATATGGAAGATGTGATAGAAAATAATGGAAGAAATGCTGTTCGCTGCTACTTGGGGTAAATTCTAAGAAAAATTGTGAACAAAGATGTCAAAGTCGTGTATACGTTGAAGCTTTTAGATAGTATATTTACAATTAAGTCCACATCACCTCATTACTTATTTTCAAATTTGTTTCTAAATATTCTACTGTAAACGCCACTTAAATAAACTAAGTAATTTACTCAAAGGATTAGGAATAGTTTTTCAAAATGTGATTCAAAAAAATACTTGGCTAAGCCGGTTGTTTGAAAAAGCAACTAAAATCCCAAATAGTAGTTACTTAGATATTAAATCACAAATCCAATAGGTAATTAGTTAATATATACTTTCGCACATACCAAATTGCAAAGAACCCAACTCAACAAATACACACACATATAAATAGCTGTATGCATGAATTTGCTTATATGGTCGCTTGAGGCCACCACCGTTGCATAAATTAGCCGGTCATTGCGGCTACTTTTGTTCGGATGAAGAAAGAAATCCGAGACCTAAAAACGACAACAAAAAAGCGAAAGCAATTAGGTTCATGCAAAAAGCAAAAACTAAGTTCGGTAGGTGATGCAGATTGTTTTTGCCAGCAATTCTGCAAATAGTTTTAGCAAAGCAATGACATATTTCTACACTTAACGCACACCAACACACACATTCTCAGACGATGCATATGGTTGGGAAGCACAGGCGAGTAGAAAGCTTATAACTGCACCGTAATATATGGATTCGCATATGTATACGTATTTCCTGGTGACTAAATATGTTGGGTACACGTTTGTAGGGTTTTCAATTACGACAACAAAATCTCCATTTTCAGCCAGATGTCGATGGTTATACCTATAACTGTACAATATATATCTACACAATTCCAGCTAAACTTGGCCATTGTCCATGCAATGTGGCTTCCGTCTGCCGGATTTTAAGCATTGAAGCGAACAAAAACGACGACCACAAAAACCACTTGGGGCACTGTCAGCTTCAGGTAGTCGCAAGGGCAGCAAAAAACAATGCATGTGAAATAAATAGGTGACAAAAAATTAGATAGCGGAAGTAGTGCTTTGCAATGGTAGACAGTTGCACAGAGGTAGGAGCCGGAAGTGTTGCAAGAGCTGGCCGAAAGGAATGAATTACATTGAAAAAGCTGTAAATGAAGTTAGTTAAGCGCATACATATGCTGGGTGAGATTCGAACGAACATGGAAATGAAGGAGTGGAAATTAAGGTACACGCTCAAATGGTGAGCGGGTGTAAGAGAAATTGAGATGTGGGGAAGCTGTAATCACTTGTGCAGCTCACATGCATGAAGCGCTGAGACCAGCATCAGCTGTTGCCGCAACAAGCTAGGTATATTTTATTGAGAATGAAAAGCATTTTGAGTGGAAAAATGTGTTACGCAAAGAATTTATGCACTGATACATATTTTAGAGCGAATATAGAATGCTCTGAGAGGAGAAATAGTAACGAGACTAAAGCAGTTTGACTTACTTATAGTAAAGAATAATTATATATTAAAATTATATTCTGTGGAACACTGCTAAGTATTTATTAAGCATAACTTGAAAAGCCCAGATAAGATATATAACATGAGCAAATAAGGATATGACGCATTATATTTGGTATATGATGGGCTCTGGGTAGATCTAGATAATATTTACCTACATTTGTCAAATTAAATTGTGGTCTGAAAAATATAACCTCTTAATTTTATTAAGATATCTAACATATTCATCGATGTTAGTATATATTCCACTATAGAACTGAGCTCCTTATATATGATATATGGTATACCAATTATAGAAGCTAACCTGAGAAGACTCAAACAGATAGCCTTACCAGAGACAAACTAAGGCAGCTTGTATAGTGGTCACAGTATTTCAAAGTATCAACGTATCAGCTGCATTGGTTGGGAAGGTAATTAACAGAATAGTGTGAGTTATGTGGCTTTGTGGGGGAGTTACCGGAGCATCCTCTGCTGCGAAGAGAAGAAGAAAGAAGCAAGTCTTCAGACTTTTCTTCCATTATTGGTGGAGGTGATAGGAGCGAGGGAAGAGCAATTTCCACGACAGTCGGGTCTGCGTAGTCGGAACGGACTGTCAACCCAGCAATTTTCGGTCAAATTACTTTAAGCATTTTTTTCTGCCGCTACAACGACAACAATAGGGGGGCGCACACTATAGCAAAGAAGATCTATTGTATTTATCTTGAGAAACTATCAACAGATCCGGATTCTGATAGTAAGCTTTAGAATGAATTTATTTTTATTTATGACACAATTGAAGTCTTGTCCTAAACATCCCTAAACAAATCAGAAGCGAACCTATATATCTTATGATTAGTTCTGAAATGAACTGACTCAAAAATCGCCAAGCTCTCTGAAAGATAAACTATTAAGTAATTCCTTGAATATTGCAAAAGTTATAGAGTACAAACAAATAGTCCCAAAAAATTATTCCACATGAACAACCACACTATATATACAAATACATATGTATGGTATGTTATGCAGCTTCTAAGCAATAATTTACCTTTTATATTGCAACCAACAACCTAAAAGGAACTTTCTATGGCTACAATGTGAAACTGTTGGCGAGCAAAATTATTTATAAATTTCTAAAGCTTACAACAAAACTACTTAGTACTATGTATAGGAATCAAGTAGTTCCAATCTTGTCGGAAACTAGTATGTATTGTAAGCCTAACTAGACAGCCGACTATCTTTCTCTACAGGCATACTGATATTTCCTGTATGTTGAAAATAGCCAAAAATTGTTCAGATATTCAAATACCAGTGTCAAAATAGTTCCAATCTAATTATTATACTCAGGAGCAATTGTAATGAAGATTTTTACGGCACTTTTACGGCATTTTATTCATAAAATACACTTTGTGATATTCATTCAGTTTTCGGCCCAGTTAAGAAGTAGTTAGTTTTTCCAGACTAATTCGGTATTTCATTGCAGACTAACAATTAGCATACTGGAGCTTAACTAACAATACATCGACAAATTTGCAAATGTGCGAATTTCGTACTTTTCTTAAATATTACATGCATATTCAATTGCATTTGCATTGTTGTTGGCAAATTTTTGTGAGAATTGTTTAAAGTGCTTTCGTTGAATGCTTGGAGTCGAGTGATTTTTGTTAAGCAAGTATGGGTTAAAATAACTCATAAATTTTTGGGAATATGCAAATGCACTAACACAAACATAGTTTTTCGATAAAGTTGTCAGAAGTTGCTTGAAATAACTTTAGTGAAATTACGGCAACTTTATATAGATACATAGGTGTGTATAGTATATTTTATGCATAATTGTTTTATTAATCTCCAAAAGCTTTAATACAGATTTTTTACAAAGTAGAATTTAAAAATAATGTTTTTAACTAAACTTACTGAAGATGTTTCAAATACATATTACGTATATCCAGTGTTGCGAGGTCTTTAATTCAAAAATTTTAAATTAAAAAAAAGATTTTCATTAATTATTCAAAAATGTTTGGGATTAAAAATGGCAAATTGACAATATTATTTTTTATTTGACTGAACGCGAACAAAATGTTTATAAAAAATTTTTTCAATCTGGTAGTTTGGATTTAAAATTAAAAAATAAAATATTAATCCTGTTTTTGGGATTAAATTTGTATACCCTGACTAGGGTATATTAAGTTTGCCACGAAGTTTGTAACACTCTCTCACCAAAAAGCTGCTCATTTATCGGAACGGCTAATATCGGATCACTATAGCATATAGCTGCCATAGAAATAGTTACCGTGATTTTCTAAAACTGAATACCTTGACATTTCTACCTGTAGTAATAAAATTTAATAATGATTAGGTAATGAAGGAATTTTTTACACAAAATTTCATAGTCTATTATAAAAATGGCAACTGAAAGCAATTCTCTAAAAATCCGCCAACGAATTTTTTTTTTTCTAAACAATATACACTATTTTACCACAATGCTTCCTTTAATCTGATATCAGCAAACATAGGAAATCTTTAAATCTACAACAAACTACTTTACTACTAAACAAAAATATCTCCAACACTGCAAATATGTAGCTAAATATTCACATTATTATGGCCATAAAAATGGCCGCGTTTGGCAGCATAAAAATTTTGTGCTGCTATGCAATATTTTTTATGCCACACTGTCTGCCAAGACAATGTTTGCGCTTTTTTATTGTCCTGCGCGTACAAATTTATTTACATAAATAAAATGCAAAAGTAAAACACACACGTATTATACAAATAAACAAGCGCATACAAAGGCAGTGGCGCGAATGTGATGGCGAGGCCGGCATGGCGTATACGCGATATTATTATTACAACGTTATTTTTCTCGCGCAAACCGCCACATAAGCGCGCAACTTTTTCAATTTCACAGCCGCAGCAGCAGCTTGGCATTAGTAATGTGCAGACCTGCATGTGTATGTGTGTGTGTCAAGGTGTGAGTGTTTGTGTGTTAAAGCGCTGCGGTTGCCAGCTAGCAGACGCTATTTGTCGTAAATTTGTTGCTGCCTGTCGCAAAAATATTACAAAAAAATATTACTTTTATTACAATTATTTTTTTTATTATCATAATTCGCCATACAAAGCGCACGAGTATTTTATGTTCTTTTTTTTTTTTGTTGTGTGTTTGTTGTAGCGCGCTCATTGCAAAAGTGCCAAAGTAGTCAGTAGGTTGCATTTTTATGATTTTATTAGTTGATTTTGTATAATTTTGCATTTATTTATTTATTTACTTTTTTGATTTTATTAATACTGCTTTGAGATGTATTTGTGTTAAAAAATCACACATTATCAGCGCATTTTGGCCTTTATTAAGACAAAAATTACGCTATAAGCTTCATATGAACATGTGTTTGTGTGCTCTTTTGTGTGGTTTTATGGCTGCGCTGCACGAATATATTCGGCTGTGCTACATTGAAAGTTATTAAATTATATAGAGCATATAATAAAAAGTTAGATGACTATAATACGTCACTTGTGGTGCGTTGAGCTGACAGTCAAGCAGAATAGGCTCAGTACATTTTAAAATTTCAACAAAAGCAGACTTAGTAGTAAGTAATTATATAAAAACAAGAACAAGCCTTAACGATATACGAAATTTCTTCAATGATTTCAATGAAATAATATTCCATGCCAAATTTTATGAATATGTCACGTCAAATGGAAAAGTTTTCCATACAAGCATTTGCTTCCGATTGTTAAGTTTGTATGACAACTATATGCTAGAGTGGTCCCATCTAAACGATTCGGTGATTGCACCATTGCTTAAGGCAATAATCTACGCTAAATTGTTTGAAGATATTTCGCTATTAGGGGTTCGATATCAGCTTATATTATCTAGCTATCTGAACTAGTTCCGAACTATCCCACAAAGTATAGGCACACAGTTTTAAACTAACCTCAAAATAAGATTCTGAAAGAATTTGACTAAATTCGCGTATTCTGCAATTTTCTTTGAATAGGGAAGAACTAGCTGCCAACGAGTCACCAAATGACTTGAACTTGTCGCCAAATGGTATCAGCCAATATAGAACTATGTAAAATAGACAGAGCTGGAAACAGCTGTTGAAGAGGGTGGTACAATATTAACGAAATTTTACAAGTGCTACTAGACTTTCATATGTATAAGTTTTATAAAAGTTAGCACAAAAAATATAAAGAATGCTTGAGAGAAACTAAAACATACAATAGTCTTATCGGAACTATAATGTAAGCACCTTATATACCCTTTTATCAATTTTATAATTTTTTCAACAAAAAAATTATTTAACTCACCGACAATCCAGCAGCAGTGCATTATCCTTTTGACCCGCAACGGATATCATTTGGTCCATAATACCACAGGGCATACCAGCGAATTTGTGCTCAGCGGCTTGACATACTAAAGCGCGTTTCTTGTTGCTGTAATTGTTAAATCAAAAATCAAAATATTAAAAATAAAAACAAATAAAATAAATTGAAATAAAAAGGTTCGAATTGTTGACAGGCCAACCAAGCCAAAAAAGTAAATAAAAACAAGTAAGGAAGGGCTAAGTTCGGAAGTAACCGAACATTTTATACTCTCGCAAGGTCAAATGGTATACTCGTTTGAGATTTCTTTGTGGATTGACTGATATTTTCGGTAGAAGGTCAACTATAGGCACTGGGGTCCACATATTTAGTACTTAGGGGTTTGAACAGTTTTGGTTCGATTTAGACAATTTTTGGCCGCAAGGTGGCATACTTTAATTGCATTATTCACGCAAAGTTTTACCCCGATATAATCATTTTTACCTGATTTGCATAGTGGAATGTGAAAGAATCAGATGGAATTGAAAATGGTGTTACATGGGAAGTAAGCGTGGTTGTAGTCCGATTTCGCCCATTTTCGCACTATGACATAGAAACAAGAAAAGAACGTTATGCACCGAAATTGGTTGAAATCGGTTAAGCAGATCTCAAGATATGGGTTTTCACCTAAAAGTGGGCTGTGCCACGCCCACTGTCTAATTTTGAACGCGGTTCCTATAAAGTCATCTTATACCATCTCAGAGATAAAATTTAATGTCTCTGGCGTGTTTAGTGCTTGATTTATCGCGCTTTTAGTAGTTTTTAACAGTACCGTTATATGGGGAGCAAGCGGAGTTGCCACCCGATTTCAACTATTTTCACACCGTCAATAGAAGTGCTAAAAACATTTGCTTCCAGTGAATTTTGTTATTATAGCATTAGCGGTTTAGGAGATATGCACATTAAACCCATTAGAGGCGGGACCACGCCCACTTTTTAAAAAAAAAGTTTAACTGCAGATGCCCCTCCCTAATGTGATCCTGTGTACCAAATAACAGTCTTGTATCTTATTGCGGAGCTTAGTTATGGCAAGTTATTTGTTTTTGATTAATGGCGTTTTGTGGGCGTGGCAGTGGTCCGATTACGCCCATCTGCAATACCAACCGTCTCACGGTACCATGAAACATGTCTACCAAGTTTCATAAAGATATCTCAATTTTTACTCAAGTTAGAGCTTGCACGGACGGACGGACGGACAGTCACCCGGATTTCAACTCGTCTCTTCATCCTGATCATTTATATATATATAACCCTATATCTAACTCGATTAATTTTAGGTGATACAAACAACCGTTAGGTGAACAAAACTATTATACTCTGTAGCAATAGGTTGCGAGAGTATAAAAATATATCTATGAAAATATTATATATATTTATATAGACAGATGTTGCATAAAGCAATGTTGATTGCTAATTTACTCACTTTTCAAGTTGTTTGCCAGTCAACTGCTCCATAAACGTCAAAGTTGCCACCTCGACTGCGGCACTGGATGACAAGCCGCCGCCCACTGGTACATTGGAGGCAAACACGGCATTGAAACCGGGCAGCTCACCTTCCTGTTTCGACTCGACGGCAAAATGGTGAATCACACCTTTCACGTAGTTCGCCCATCTGCACGGAGAGAGAAAGAAAAAGAGATAATAGAATTGCCGAAGTTCTCAAAAGTGCATACCAAAGCTAAAGTTCTCTGCTGCATGATCGGACAGACGGAACACTGACCGGCTATGTCAAAGCGTATTTAAATTTCCGAGGTGAAATTTGCTTTTTGCCACTGACGAATTTACCGCTTTTAGATGGCTTGGCGAAATCTCAACATTGATTGCACATACATATAAATACAAACACAAAAACACACCGCAAAGCACACACAAACACCCGGAATCATTCTCTCACTCACACATTGCTGCATGTTAACCACTTTCAACTCGTTTTTGCATTTCCTTTGTGGCTTTACAGTTGAGTAGTTGAACTTTACAATTTGACCACATGTATTTGCACACACACACATGCGCATACATAGTTTCAAGCATTTGCTTAACTATGTTTAGTATATGTATGTATGTGTGTGTGCTTATGAGTTTCTAACTCCACATTTCTTGTATATTCGTTTATTTGGTCGCTCTCCTTTCACTCACTTGACAGCTCACATCAAGAACGAGCAGGCGGTGAGCCAACCATCCGGCAAACGAGTTGACAGCATGTCAGAAAGCACCATTCAAGAGAGATCGTTTTAAGCAAGTGCATTTTAATTTTAATCAAATTTTGTTCGTTTGGCTACCAATTTCGATATTGGATCAGATCAAAAAACTAGTAGGTTATTGTAGAGAAAATTCCAAAAAAAACTGTGTTTTTCTTATTGCGAAATTCACATGGCAAAATATCGTATTCACATCGCATAATCGTAGATGTAAACTTTTTCATGCGAATCTATGAAATTGGTTTACAAAATTGTTGATGGGGAACAACTATGACTAAAATGTAAGCTTTATTAACAATTTACTTGGTTTTAACAACTTTTTATATAAATTAAGGACTATTAACAAATACAGTTGATATTTTTGGTCAACACTAAAGTCGAAAACTCTGATGATGGAAAGAGTTTTCAACAAGAAAAAGAGAAGTGTATGTATTTTGGATGAAATTACTTGATTCCTACAATAGCTAGGGGCCGCCAGCGAAATCGATTTTAAAGTTGTCAGCCAATGTGAGCCATTCAATAAGTTTTTAAATCGATTCTTCCTTCATATACGAGTATACCATTAAATATTTTTTCTGTGGTGGAGAAACGCAAACTGGGCAAGCATAATCTATATAATTTATGCAGCTATTACTTAACAGGTCTGATTCGATCAAAACAAATATGTATTTACTTAAAAGAAAAGCACGCTTTTAAGCTGAAACAGTCGCATAATTAATTGGCTTCATAAATTTATAAAATTTTTTTCAATTCCACTAAATTAAACAAAAAAACATGTGTGGCAGATTGCCGAAGTTCACTATAGCATATTCGAAATTCGAACATAATTTTTCATTCACACGAAATTCGTAATTCGAATCGTAAGTTTTCAGTTATTTGCTCCTCGGGCGCATTTACTAAAAGACTATATTGTCTGACAATATGTTGAGCTTATATAGTTTTGTATAGTAGCTCTTTCCATAGTCAATGACCGCAAAAGGACCGATCAAGGCCATGAATGAATTTCATGCCGTATTCCAAAATTGTGTTTCGGTTAATATTTTATGCTAAAAATTCAATGATATTAAGGGGCAATTATGTTCAAGGTGTACATGTATACTTTTTGGACACAATTACTACAGTTATTGTTTTCTTTGCCGTATATGCACTTATAAGTAGTCCTTTAGAAATCCTCAGAATCGCAATGAGATTACAGCTAGTTGCCTGCATAACAACACCAAGCCACAAGTGACCAATGCTTAAGTATTTAACATAGCTTGGTTTTCTTTGCATGAACTCACACAGTATACGCATACAACAATACAATGAAAAGTGCACACAACAACAATTGTGCGTCATAAGAAGTTGGT